GAAATTTATAAATATTAAAAAATGTATCAAGTCTATAATAATTTGCAATGTATGACTTAAAGAAGTGTATTATATGATATGAAAAAAATATTAAAATATATGAATTGGTATGTATATGTATTTGCAGGTATATAATCTAATTATGAAGTTACATCATATTTCAAATATTACTATCTGCTCCTAATTTATTTGTAGGTAGAAGGGATAATTAGGTTTACTATTAATGTTAAGCAAATGTAATATGCTTATTTTACTTTTATTATTGCCGTTATCAGATTTATTATATCAGTTTTTGGCTAAACATTTGTACACATTTTAATAGTAATCATTTTGGCACCATTTTACAACATATTTATTCAAGTACATCTATTTGATACTTTCCTCTTTCATAAATGAAATTTATGCACTTGTAATTTTATATCGCAGCTACTAATAAAAGCACTTTAATTTTTTTTCTCTTACATATTACACTTCTGTCAATAGGAATTATATAAGGCACTGATTATACGCAACATTAGTATACGTTGCTTTTTGTGCAACAGGACTGAATAACTTTATGTCCTGAATAGCTATTATTTTAAAAAAGGAGTAAAAATAGTTTTTAAGATTCTGATAAGTATTTCAATCACAAAAAGATTACTTAACGGTTTAATCTATTTATATACATTTTATACAATCACACCCACATGCATACAGCTATGGAAACCTAGTAATAAATATACCATTTGAAATGTGAACATTACAATGAGTATAAACAATCTTGTAACACATGTATAACTGTATGGTGCAATGATACTTTCTATAAAAAAATTCAATAATTTACATTATCAAGAAGTTTGAATTTACAACTAAACTTTGATGGATGTTAAAGAATGATGATTCAAGATGTAACTTCTAACTATAACAAAAGAAGCTTTTTGCAAATATACAATTTTCGCTGTCACACACGTTTCAAATTGTATGCATTGGTTTAAAAAAATTTTTTTAACACTAAATTTAAACAGCTGCCTGAATACAGGAGTTTCAGCTTTGCACGTAACGGTATTATTTAAATACCTGTTGCTGATGAAGTTGTTGCTGTTGCATTTGATGTTGCTGTAGATGTTGCAACTGTTGCTGTTGTTGGAGCTGCTGTTGATGCTGTAATATTTGTTGCTGTTGTTGCATTGTTGTATTTCCACCTCCATTTGCAGTTTGTTGGTTTTGTCCACTTTGAGTACCATTTGGTAAACCTAAGGTAATTTCAAATTATAAAGTATGCTTTCATTTTGTGATATTATATGATCCTTACCATTAGGTGCAGGACCTTGAGCAGGAGACTTTGCCCAACCTTGCAAATCTGCTAACAGATTCTGCCATACTGTAATTTTATCATAATGCCTTTTTATGAGATCTTCTTTCCGTGCTAGTTCTACTCTAAGATCATTAATGTCTTCTTTCACTACTAATTCTGGTTTCAATGCAGACAACAAAAATCGTTTTTGTAGAAAAAAAGCTTCCATTTGCCTTGCCAGATCTATAAATCTTAGTGTAACTTGTTCAACTTCACTACGTGCTTCCTCTTTATCCACAGTCAAACCACCAGACACCCCAATCCCAGTGTTTCCTAACCCTTCGTCTTTTGTTATTAATATACTCAAACATTGCTGCAAACAGCATTTAATATAAAAAAAACGGATTTATAATCTCTAAAATATTGTTTCAAAAATTAGCTTAGAAAAAATAACATTTCTGACAGCATACCTGAAATGCTTCCTCAAATTCGTCGATAAGATTACCATTACCATTAGTGGGTGTCGCCATTATACTTGCGAAGCTTATAGATAAAAACGATTTATTGTCAATTATAGTTAATTTAATTGTAGGGTGTGTCCATTATAATGGTTTTGAATAGAACTAGGAAGTCCGCAATTGATATGCACGTGTATCAAACAAACAAGATATAAACAAAACTTTGTAACTAAATAAGGTGTCACACACAATCTTTAATAAATACATTAGGCACAAATTTCAAAATTTTCTTATTTTGAGTCTCAGTACTAGGAACAACGTAACATACTAAGAAATTTTTTGGTCAGACATTTCACGCATCTATGTCTACAACGTTAGTCAAGTAATATTTAGATGATAATCGATATATATCGATCATCAATAATTGTGTATAATAAGACACGGACACTAGATACAAATTATGTTACATCTGTTCATGGATAACACTTTTAATTTTTTTAGCTTGTAAAAGATATCATCTTTAGTAGTCATTATTAAATATAAAATTTTGTCAATTACACATTATCTGATTAAAAATAATTCTTACTATTACTATTATTTACATGCATATAGCAGTTATATATTACATAAGTTGTATTTTACAGTAAATTATTATAAAAGAAAATGAATCTTTCATTAATCAAACTGTATGAGATCATCCTCTTCAAATTGTATGAGATCATCCTGTTCAAACTCTATGAGATCTGGTCCTTCAGGTTGTGGGGGTGGTTTGTACCATATATCCTCAAAATCCCATAAATCAGGATTTAAATTTTCTCTACCTGGTGGTGGCCCACATCGTGGACAAGGTGGATAACGTTTAACATCAAAGAATTTTTCTAATTCTTCTGGATCAAAAGATACATGTTGATATGGTTGTTGTTGTTTAGGTATAGGAGGAATATAAGCTTTTATTTTAGATGGATGAGGCATAGCTATGCCACTTTCATCTTCCTCCCAAGATATATCCCTGTCTTGGTACATTTCTTCTTCAAAAGGAATATCTAACTGTAAACCTTCTGGTGAATCATCTGCAAATGCTATTCTTTCAAATTCTTCTTCCATTCTCCTGGCTGCTTCTCTTACTTCCATATCTTCTTTAGCTTTTTGCATATATTCTCGAGTAGCTACAATATCAGGATGGTCTCTTCCATATTTAGGTTGTACATATTCATCTTCTACATCAGGGATTCTGTATGAATATTATTATTAGATATGAATAATTAGGCTTTTATTTAATTACACTGCACTTGAAATTTTACCTATATACTGCTCTACGAAGTGATTTAGTAGGAGACACAGCAGGAGAATCACGGACAAAAGGAGGAGTTACATCATCAAGTTGAACAACATTGCCACCAACATTTGCAACTGCAATGACAAACTCTCTTCTAGCTTGTTGTAATTCTGATAGTCTACCTTGTACTGCTGCACATTCTGTAGCATCTTGTTCATCAAGGGATTCACTACCAGAATTGGAAAACCTTTGTGTTATTATTGCAGATACAAAATGTTTTATAAAATTACCTGATCACTTGGATTGAACGATTGGCCATTTGAGATGCTGCTTTTGCTTCACTTGGTTGTACTATACTGACAATGGCAGTACGATCACCACTTACTGTTCCAGCAGGTATTACAACGTTGCTAATTGGTCCTTCACCAATTGGATCAGCTTGAATTACTTCAGCATCCATCACTTTGGCTAATTCAGCAGTTTTTCTAGATATACTGTCATCAGTTGCTCTTGGTGCCGCTCGCGTTACACCTCTTCTAGGAGGTATAACACTGGGTCCAGCTCTTCCAGAAAATTGTGGTGCTCTTGTAGGGGATGCAGCTGGAGTACGTCTTCCCATTGTTCTTCCCCTTCCCATCCTAATTAAATATGATTTATACATGTTAATGAAAATTATGGAATTGATGTATTATTTTATGTTTCATAACTAATATATAAGAAACACAATACAAATTAAACACAGTTTCAAACAAATTTAATTGTTGTCGCGACCTGGCATCACCTCCTATTGGTGCAGGTGTCCTTTTAGGTAACCGGCCGGATGTTAATGCTTCTTCTTTACGTTCATATTCTTGTTTGAATTTCTCCGCTTGTTTTACTCTAGCTAACATTGCTTTAGTCATTCCTGGTTTTTTGAAGTCCACTTTCTTTGCTTCAGGCCTAACATATTTCCTGCGTACTTTGAAATCTTCTTGTTGCCTTATTCTAGCTTCTTTCTTTTCTGTATCTTTTAGTAACGCAGCAGTTCTTGCTTGACGAAGTTGTTCAGTTCTTGTAAGACCGGGACCAGGACAGGCACCTGCCCGTGGATTCCGACTCATTTTCTCCTTTATAAGTTAATGGTAGAGAAAGATTAAAAAATTAATATTAAAAATATGTTAAGGAATCTTTCTTATTTAATGGGATATGGAATATATAATTATACATAATTATAATTATTATTTCAGACATAATGAAAGATATGTGAAGAAATAATAAGGTTTCAATAAATACACAATATATATTCACCTATTTAATGATTTATTTCTTCTATTTGTGAATATTAATGTTATTGATATTTTATGAATAATTTGTCAGGTTTTCATATTGCAAATGTTTTGTAAAATTTACGATCGCGATTCAATGCGACACGATCAAAATCGTCACATATTTAAAGCTAATTAATTTAATCGTTTTTTAATTACTAAAATTTTTACTGTTATTAAACCGAAACGTCATATAGTTTGGCAGGTAGGATAAGAGTTCATGGTAAAAACTGCTTTTGTTTTCAACAGTATGTATCTGTTGTCAAAAAGAAAAGGAAATTTAAAAAAAATAAAATGTAGAGTAATACATAAGAAATAAAATATGAAGTTCCTTAGAATACAAAGGAAAAGAAAAAGACAAAACAATTTTGCAACGTATATGTATTTCGTAAGATAATATTAAGTTTTTTACATTATGTTGATGTACACTTTTATTGTACATTGTGTGCGTTATGTAAACATATTATTACATTATATACATATGTAGATAACAAGAGATTAACAAATATAGATAATAAAAACTAAATAATATACAGTAATTGAAGAATGGTAAATATATTTTTAAATATTTGGTTTGAATAAGATTAATCGATTGTTGAGAACTCTCGATACCTTTACTATCAATATAAATCGATATGCAGTCGATATGTTAGAAACGTAAGTCCCCATATACCATATCAATTGAAATCTTTGTTAAAGTTACTTCTTTTTCTTTAACAATGCCAACTAGGGCAGAACGCCCTAATTTGATACCTTTTCAGGATACTCAGTACAGTTGGACGGATGATTTGCCAGTATGTAAACAATCTGGTGCGTAAAAATTCAGCTACATAACCTACAAACGATTAGGTTAATGTTTTCATTTTCCAAATACATCTTTAGGAGTAGGATTCTCTACGAATCAAATTTATCGCGAGGATGGATATAGGCAAGAGGAACATCCATTTGAAGATCGTAGTTTTCATTGCCGCTATGATGATTCAACATTTCTTTATGGAGTATTTGATGGCCATGAAGGCACAAAAGTAGCAAATTTTGCTATGCAGCGAATGGCTGCAGAGATTTTACTTGGGCAACTAAATGGTAAATCAACTGATGAAGAAGTTAAAGAAGTTCTTAGGTAACAGTATATGATAAGTCATGAAACTTAGAAACTGTGACTTGTGTAAATTGTGTAATTTGTTATCATAGACAGGCATTTATAGCTGTGGAAAAAGGATATTTAGATTCAATTGGAGATCTCTTGGCTGAGAGAACCAGTTTGCAATTTGATATACCAGATGGACTAAATTCTTATGAAACATATCAAAAGTTTCCTCACTTGGTTAGTTAAATATATTAATATCGTGGAAGATTATATGTTGCAAATGTTGGTGACAGTAGAGCTTTGTTATGCAAAACAGACTCTAATCAAGTGTTAAGAGTTGTACAACTAAGTGTAGATCATGACTTAAGGAATGAAGATGAACTGTTAAGATTATCTCACTTAGGATTGGATATTGATTCTATAAGACAAGGTACTTTGTAAAACTAGGTTCAACCTTTATATTATTTCTAAATGTTAATGTATTTAATAAAACTTTATGTTAAAGGATCTCGTCTTGGAAATCAAGAAACTACACGTTGCCTTGGAAACTATCTTATCAAAGGAGGATACAGGGAATTTGAAGAATTAACATCTGCTACAGCAGAACCTGTCATTGCTGAACCAGAAATTCATGGTGGGATACAACTTGATGATTCTTGCAAGTTCATATTGCTTATGTCTCGTGGGCTTTATAAATCATTGGAGGAAGTAACTGGAGTTGATCAAGTTAATATAAAATTAATTAATTTTGCAGTTCAGGAGGTATGAAATAAAAATTTGAATTGCACAATTAGTCTCACAGTACCATAATTTTCTCACAAAATAAATTTACAGTTTCAAGTGCAGTCTACTTTAACAGGAGTTGCTCAAGCTGTTGTAGATAAAGTTGTAAGAATTCATCATGATATTAACATGAGTAACTTACAAAGTACAGTAACTACTGGTAAACGAGATGATATAACTTTACTTGTGCGGAACTTCAATTTTCCACTTCCACATGCATTAAAAAGTCCAACTAATCAATCGGTTAGATTTAACCCGATTGTAGAATCTGCTCCAATAATAACAATGTCAGAAAATGACTATTCAAATACAGGTATTACGGAAGAAAATTCCGATTTATCAACAACAGAAACTTCATCAACATCAGACATGTATCCTCCTGGTGCAAGACCAATAAATAGAAATACTAGAATTAAGCCTTACGTTAATTTTTCTGAATACTACGAAAACGTTGAAAAGAGACGACGAGAAGGAACATTACCAGAAGGTATAAATTTTTAACTAATAATATTAAGTGTGCATTATATTTATAAAAATAAGAATTATAAATATATAATATATTCAAATTGTATATAATGAGCGATAGAAAAAATGAATTTCATGACAACAATTAATAAACGTTTGTTGATCTTATCGTTCATTTTTTATACAGCAAGAACATTCAGTATTCACACAAAAATTTTGTAACGTGAACCAAAAACATTGAAATTAAAATTTCGGTATACACAGTAAGATTTGCTGTAACATTATTTTTATACGTAAATTATAAGTATTTTGTTGGATTAGATTTAAGTCTTTCATATGCTGCTTTCTCAAGACATTCTCTGTGATCAGGGTGGGCAATTTTAATCAATGCATTTGCTCTTTGACGTAACGTTTTACCAAAAATTTGTGCTATTCCATGCTCTGTAACTATATAATGCGCATGGGCTCTTGTTACCACAACACCACCACCTGTTAAACAGATAATTTCAATTGTATTTGCAAGATATGTTTAAAAAATTCATTCTAATTTGCTAAAAATTTTTTTTTTTTTTGCTAGTGAATACAAAATTTAATTTTCGTACCAAGTTTTAGTACAGGTTGAATTTTACTTTCTCCTTTACTTGTTACCGAAGGAAAGGCGATTATAGCTTTGCCTCGGCCATCTTGGCTCATTGCTGCACCTCGAGTAAAGTCAAGTTGACCACCAAAACCAGAATACATCTTACAGCCTAAACTGTCTGAACATATTTGACCGGTGATATCCATTTCTATGCAAGAATTAATGGCTGTCATTTTTGGTTGCTGTGATATTACTCGAGGATCATTTACGTAATTAATCGCAAGCATTTCTATACAAGTGAATAAACGTAGCGTTATTTGCAAAAGTAAAAGAACAATTATAACAAATCAGTTTTACCGATTTAAAACAATTATATATGTACACACCTACAAACGGATTATTATGTAAAAAGTCATATACTCTTTTGGTACCAATTGCTAACGAACTGACCATACGTCCCCTATGCTTTATTTTTTGTTTATTTGAGATATTTCCTCGTTCTGCAAGATCTACCATTATGTCGCCAAGTATCTCTGTGTGAACTCCTAAATCTTTATGATTGCCAAGAGAACAGAGAATAGCATCAGGTATATTGCCAATGCCAAGCTGTAAGGTTGCTCCATCATCCACTAGTCTTTGTGCTATGAGCTTGCCAATTTCTTGTTCAATTTCATTTGGTGGAGTACTAGCCACGCATGGTAAAGGACAGTCGTACTTGACTGCCCAGTCGATATGGCTAGAGTGAATAACAGTATCCCCGAATGATCGTGGCATATGTTCATTAACTTGGGCTGAACGAGGAAAAAATAATCTATATTTCTTTGAACGTATTCTAATTTATTATTAAATGCTTACTGACCGACTATAACTTTGGCTGCACTAAGCGCAGCACGTGTACAGTCTACGCTTACACCTAAAGAACAGAAACCACGAGCATCCGGTACACTGACGTGAATTAACGCGATATCTGGAACGATTCTCTTCTCGTAAAATAATTTTGGCACTTCATGGAGAAATATTGGAATGTGATCTGCTCTTCCTTCGTTAACAGCATCTCTAAGATTGGCACTGATATAAAAACTTATAGACCTGAAATGTTCTGAATAATAATTATGATAGTTAGAATCATAATGTACGAATGGTATGTTTTATTCTTATTTTGGGTTACAGAATACCGTACTCTCAAATTCAGGATTTGCAAATGGCGCATCTCCTTCAAGACCCATATGAATTAATCGTACCCCACGTAGATTATTGCAAACGCCGTGTTCAGTCATGGCACGTATTAATTCATTAGGTGTTGCCGCACCTCCTTGTATAAAAACTAAATGCTCTAGAAGATAAATTTAAGATACGTTTATCTTCTATACATTTATTCTTGAGACGAATTTATTTATATACAGAAAAAAATCAGTTTAGATACCTGAATTTATAATTTTTACCGCATCCTCTACACAAACCCATTTTGGACATCTTTTTAAGGGTTGTAAAGGTTCTCGTATAAATCTTAAACCGCACAAATTAAAGGGCTTTGTTGGTAAAATTTTACCGAACGTTGAATCTAAATTTCGACGAAAATTGAGACCAAACATTTTGACGAAAAAATATACGTCACGTCAAAAAATATAGACACGACTAAACTGTATTAAAGTTTGTCGATGCGGTAAAATATATACGGCAATTACATGGAAATTTAGACGACACATAATCTAAAAAAATTTCTTTGATTTTAAATGTCAGTTTACGTCAAATCGCATTAGATCCGTTGCCATCTCCACGATTAGTATCTGAACGTCGGATTTACCGGTATTCGATTTTTCAATTTTCTCGATATATTTTTTTTTTTCTCGAATATTGCGCTTTGTTCAATACAGATGGAAAAAATAATGAAATGATATTCTATGTACATTTAATTTTTTATTTATTGTTTCAAATGCCATGTGCTTCCAATCGTTACAATATTTGCGTTGTACAGAGGAACGTTCCTAAATTTCATATAAAAAATATTCATTATCATTACATACTGTTATTTCAATTATTATCCACCACATTTCAATTATACTTTTAACGTTAAATACTTGTTTAAAGTATTTTCATTTTCATTTTCATTCGGAGAAGAATGTTTGTTCCTTTAAAATGAAAACCTTCTCGTATTCGCTCAAGGTGCAGTTCGCTATTTCGCTATTTTTTTTCTTAAAGTTCATCGTTCTCTCGGCAAGAAGGCATAAATTGTACGAAATGAAGAGAGTTTATGGTAGTTGTGCTCGATGCACAGATGCGCTTGTGCATACAAAAGCAACAACGATCATGAAATGCTATTAAAAAGAATCATTTGAATATTTTCGCCAGTGAAATGCTTATGGTGCTGGCATCACTTTCAAACGTTCAAATGCTGATTTTTCCAATGCTTCTCTGTGATCGGGATGTGCGATTTGAATTAGTTCGTATGCTCGTTGTTGAAGACTTTTACCGAACAAACTAGCAATTCCATGTTCCGTGACGACGTACCGAGCGACAGCTCTGTTTGTAACAACTCCAGCACCTACAGACAAATGACAAAGATTAGCATTTCGATTAGATGAAGAATGATTGTTCAGGATAATGAATTATGTACCTAATTTTAGGACGGGCTGAATTTTACTTTCTCCCTTTGAGGTAACAGATTGCAATGCAATGATAGGCTTTCCTTGACGGTCATCGCTGAGCGCTGCACCCATGATGAAATCTAATTGTCCCCCGAAACCGGAATACATTCTAGTTCCAATACTATCGGAGCAAATTTGACCAGTGATATCGACCTCTATACACGAATTAATGGCCGTCATATTCGGTTGCTTGGCTACTATTTTTGGATCATTGACGTAGTCTACCGCCAACATTTCTGTGAAGTTCATTAGGTAATTAGTTTAACGAACTTTAATAGCAATAAATAAATCTGCATAAGATTGACCTACCTATAAAAGGATTATTGTGCATAAAATCGTATAATTTCTCAGAACCGACGCAGAATGAACCAACGATTCTGCCTTTGTGCATCACTTTACGATTATTTGTTATACATCCTTTCTTCACAAGCTCTACAACACCGTCGCTAAACATCTCACTATGAATTCCAAGATTCTGGTGATTGCCCAAAAGCGACAGTACCGCATCTGGTATACTTCCAATACCCATTTGCAAAGTAGCTCCATTTACTACTAAATTCTCGGCGATATATTTACCGATTTGCTGTTCCTCCTTTGACGGGGCTTTTACAGGATGCACCGGGAGCGGCTTGTGATGCTCCACAGCAAAGTCTATATGGCTGGCATGAATGATGGCATCGCCAAACGTTCTTGGCATATGCTTGTTCACTAACGCTGAAAACAATGATGAGAAAAGATCAATCGGAGGACAATTCTACGGTGTCGAGTAACGTGGTGGCATTGAAATTGAGAAGATCTGAAAATTTACCTATGATATATTTCGATTTGCTCGCAGCAGCCCTTACGCAATCCACGCTTGTACCCAAGGAACAGAATCCTTTATCGTCAGGAGGAGTAACATGGATAAGACTGATGTCTGGTTTAACGTATCCTTCGTTAAATACTCGTGGAATCTCATGTAGGAAAATTGGAATGCAGTCAGCGTGTCCTGCTTGAACAGCCGACCTGACGTTGCCACCGATGAAAAAGCTGATGGACCTGAAATGTTCTACATGCAAAGTGTCACAATACATATAACTATACATTTCTATTTTTAATTTCTGTTTCATTTATCGAAAGCAAAAAAGAAAAAAAATAGATGTGTTTTATTATTATATTTAGAAAATTGGATTGATCTAAGAATTGATCGTTTTCGTAATTATCAAAAACAGTCGAAATTAAAAAGAAAAGAGGGAATTGATTCACACGTATAAACTACTGTAACTCTCGAGGAACACGTACAGATCACATACTTGCGTTTTCTGGTTTGGCGAATGGTGCAGCCCCTTCGAGATGCATGTGATATAGCTGTACGTTCCTAACATCGCATCGAACACCATAGTCAGTCATCGCCCTTAATAATTCAACAGGTGTCGCTGCTGCACCCTGGATGAAGACCACTTGATCTGTAAAACAATGAAACTGCATGTCAACTTAGTCTGAGAATAATGGGCGCTTTTTAACCTGTCGATGTTAAGAATACAGAATACAATCGTGTACAGATTACAATCCTTTGTATTATACAAATGTTCTTCCTTCAATAGTTGTATGTAAATTTCTACGTGCTTTCGTGTCCCTATATTTAAGACTGCCTCTTCGAGGTCGTTGTTTTCTCAAGGTCATTGCTTTCTTCGTAGTGTTGTGATTTTATTAATTGCAATATTTGGAAGAGAATATATATATTTTCAATTACCATTTCATTCATTGCAAATAACAATCTTGAGATTGGGTTTAATAGATTGCAACATAGGCGTAAGATATTTAAACCTTGATCTCGATGGTTTCTCGCTTTGGCAAGAGAGAAGAATACGCTCACGCCAGTAATAACTAAATAAATGAGACCATTTTCTGTTATTTTATGAAACGTAATTTTTTTTTTAATGACCATAGTTGTCTCGATGAAAAATTTCCGTTGCTGTAACTTATGTTAATATATTAAATAATAGAATGTCAAAGTACGGGGTTTATTATTCGATTACGTAACGACTTCCTGACTATAAATACGCAACATTATTCATCTCGATGGAAATGGTATTGATAGGCAACTTTTCCAAAAAAAAAAGAAAAGAAAATTTGATTTGGAAATAATATATATGTATACATATATATTTTTATATAATACATAGGATGCATAAATGAAACTTGAACCGTACGTGTTTACGATTGATCGAAACCAATAATGTTTGCCAATAACAACTAGCTACATATTTGCATGCTTACGTATGCGTGTCGAGGTCAATGTTTTATTCGGTGTTCTGTATTTAACAATTTTAACTCGAGCTTAAACGAGCTTTTTGGTAATAAAAATTCCAATGTGCCGATTTTTAAATTAGATCGATCTTTAAACCGTTGAAAAAAGCAACAGATGAAAGAATTAACATAATGAATGTTAATGTTTCAAATTATGTACAGAAATAGTGTAGCAAGAAAATTGTGTACTAAAAATTAATACGATCGATTTGTTTTGCAAACATAATCATTTCACTTTGTGTAGCGAACCATCATGAAAGACGATATGCTTTACTGTCCCTGACGTCATATGTAATTCACTGTTAAGGCAGTTGGAAAAAAAGTCAATCCTGCAATTTGAGACAATTTTATAACTTTCAACTGTAAAAACATATATTATATACAGTCTTAAGTTACTTGTAAGAACAAATTTTTCACCGTTGCATCTCTCTTTCTCTCTCCTTTTACAAGATAATTTTTATCGGCGTGAATGACGTATGTATCCTTCTAGAAGAATGTCTATTATGTCGGTCCTAATCTTGGTCGATAGCGTGATTTAGCGAAGCATAATTTAACTAAGTGATCTTAATTATGTATAATTTACCATATAATTGTGTTGCATTTTAAATGGTCGATAACAGCAATTTACTTTTCTTTTAATTTATTTTTAATCGTAAACAATGATTAATCATGACATTAGACGATTTGACGCAAGAAGGGAAACAAAGATCGTTTCTTCTATAGATATATATGTATGTATATACATCATCCGCAACGCAGATATAGTACATAAGTATACCAATGAGAAGGAGTAATAATGTCGCGTGAAACATTTCGACGGTGTTTTTATTATAATATTTATGCTTCTATTTTATTCCTGTGTAACAACGTCCGATTTTGATTAAGTCAATCGTTCGTAATCTGTATTCATTGCGTATGCCCATATGTGAAATACATTACGTAATGAATATTATCTTCCTAAATTGAGACCACATAATTCGAGCACAAACTATAGAAAAAATGAATTTAAAAATTATATTCAAATTTCGTTTTAACACTTTTTATCGATTATAAATTAAACGCTTTGCAAATCTTGCTATTGATTCTAAAGATTGTATGTTTAATAAGTATTTTAAATATTATTATAAACAGGATATAACCTGGTAA